CTTACCCCACCTCCCTAATCCTGGCCTGCTTCCTTCCTTCCTTCCTTCCTTCCTTCCTTCCTTCCTTCCTTCCTTCCTTCCTTCCTTTTTTCCTCCCTCCCTCCCTCTCTCTCTCTTTCTTTTCTTTCTTTTTGCATTAAGCTTTCACAGAAATCTAAGAACAGCAAATAAAAATAAATACTAGCAATAGTAATATCAGCTATTATTTATGAAGTTCAGCCGGGCAGCTGGTGACACACATCTTAATCCCAGCACTCGGGAGGCAGAGGCAGGTGGATCTCTGTGAGTTTGAGGCCAGCCTGGGCTACAGAGTGAGTTCCAAGACAGGCTATGTAGAAAGACCTTGTCTCAAAAACAAAAAGCCAATATGGGGCTGGAGAGATGGTTCAGTGGTTAAGAGCACTGGCTGCTACTGCAGAAGCCCCAGGTTCAGTTCCTAGCACCCACAAAGTGGCTCACAACCACCTGTAACTCCAGTTCCCAGGGACCCAATGCCCTCTCCTGGCCTCTGCGGGCACCGGCAAGCATGTGGTATACAGGCATCCACTCAGGCATATACACATACATATAAAATGAAAAAGAATAAACATTTTTAAAGCTCAATCTTAGATAAGTGAAGCAATTTTACTGAGTTTAAATGCTTTCCTCTTAACTCTCCATTAAATAATCCCAGAAAAATATGTATGCGATAAGTAAACTGCCGGTCATGTGAGCACACCCTGTGAGCAGAATCTCCACCAGGGAAGAGCAGGCACATGTGACCCACCCCCACTTCTTCCCACCCACTCACAACACCTCCCATTCTCTTCACCCCCCAACATGGCCTGTTTTAGAATTCACATCCTTGTGATCATGTAGCTGTCTCAGGCCACGTTCTGTTGCTATAACAAAACGTCTGACACTGGCGCTTGATGAGGGAAACAGGCCTCAGCATCTGAGTTTGGCAGTGAGGGAGTGGGTCAACATTTCAGCTATTCGTAGGAAGAGAAAACTAAGAGGAGCCATGACCAGGAAAAGCCGACGTGAGTTCGGAGCCATGGTCTGCTGGCTAAGGCAAATACTCCTGTAGCCAGCAGGTTGGCAGTGAATGTTCCTCTCGGTGCAAGTATGGCCGCCCCACAGGCTAGAAGAAAGCCTTTAACGTTGGTCAGAAGCAAAGGAGGAAAAAAAGGTAAGACAGCCATGGTAATTACACCCAGGCCGTGGGCACGGGCAGCTTCGAGGACAGAGAGAGCCACTTAGGACGGCAAGTCCCAGGCGAGGCCTCTTAACTCTCTTCCCAGCTCTCTGGGTTTAGCGGGGGCAACATTTTCAGAGGAAATCAGATAAATTTAAATCCAATTTTAAATGCACTCAGAACCAGATTGAGTATGATCAAGATGTTTTCTATTGACTGAGATCCCCAGGGCTCAGTGCCCTCCATGGACATGGCCCTCTTCCCTTCCACCTCCTGACTATGTCACCAGAGCTGAGGAAAGTGATTGCGGTATTCCTGGGTGTTTACTGGGCGGCTGGCCCGCCGCCGGCACTGTCCTGGCATTGCCAGGAACATTCTAGAAGGAAGGGGATGTTCTTACCAGCAAAGGGGGGGAGAGATGCTGCCTCAGTGCCTCAGGGCCCAAGGCAGAGAAAAAGCCTGAATGCTGATGGCCCCTGGAATTGTCCCGTGTTACCCCCAAACTTAAAACAGTGTTTCTGTGGGCAGGGGGAAGCTCTGCACAGCACCGACTGGGGTCACCACATGGGGTTCAGTTGGAAGAAGGACTTCCGAGGTAACCTCTCTCTGGACTGGCTCCCTGGCAGGGAGGGTGGCAGCTTGCCCTGGGACGGCTGCCCACAGGGTCCATTTCCAGGTGCAGGGTCACCCATGTGGCACAGGCCGTGTTACGTTTCCTCAAAGCGGTTCAGGGCCTCAGAGAGGTTCCACGAGAGAGAGCCAATGGGGTGGCCTGAGGCCTGGATCCCTGTCTGGCCCGCAGTCTGGCCACACTCCAGAGCTGTGGGAGAAGGGGCAGGAGACCGGGTCTGCAGAGAGAAGAGCCCTCAGCCATCCCGGTACAACGAGCTTCGCTGATCCCGGAGACCTCAGCCTCACCCAAGAGTTTACACTGCCTCACTGACTGGTGTGCTAGGCGTCTGACACATCTGTACACTCTGTTTCATTTATCCTAAAAGAAGCGGGAGTGGGGGATGTGGGAGGGGGGAAGGGCTAGAGAAGGGAAGGGAGAGAGGGAGTGGAAAAGAGAAAGGGGAGAGAATACCTAAAGAAGTAAGAGAAGGAAGGGGGTTTTGAGTCATACATTTCTACCCATTTTCCAGATGAGGAAATTGAGGCCTGGAGAACTGAAGAACCTGTCCAAGACCAGCTAACCAGCAAGGCTCAACGTGAGTCTTGAGAACCCCTGTGCTTCCTTCCTCTGGGCCCCTCACCCTTCCCTCTGGAAAGCCTGCTTGTACTTTTCCCAGGTCCCTCAACAACCCAGGTATACTCCTTGATCCTTGCTTAGAGAAACCCCAGTTTCCAACAGCCACCCCCCCCCAACCAAGTATTTAAGTTTCCCTTTGCTCAGGGCACCTCTCATTTGTTCAAAGGGAAGCTCACCATCACAGGGATCAGCTCCCCACAGCAAGGAGACTCTTCCCCTGCTGGCCACCCTGAAGGCCCAATTTCCTTCAGAATGTTCTGGTGACATTAAAACTCAGATGTCCTTCCAAACACAGACCGGCATGAATCCCATGCTCGCCGGGGTGGGGGCGGGGGACAGCTTCAAAGAGCGGCACGCAGGCCCTGGAAGTGGCTTTCCTGTGGCCGGCAGCCCTGTGCAGACCCCCATCCTTCACTGGCTGACACAGAGCAGGAGCGCTGCCTTCCCGGGCTGTTTATTGCTGTAATGTGTCAGCGCGGGTAACAGAACACAGGCAAGGAAGGCTTAATTATAAAAAGGGATCTTTTCAAGACGTTTTAATTCCCTCATTTTTCCTCCTTCCTGACAAGAACTCACACACGTGCACAAAAAATGTGAATTTAGTTTAATTTGGGGCTCTCGAAATCACTGCTAACGTGATTATTTAATCCCCTTTGGTTCAGCCTTAGAAGTACAAATTTTTTTCTGGTTAAGATTTTCATTTGTTGGCAGCAGTCGAGCAAGGAGGCTGGAAGTCTGGGTTCGGGCGACAACCTGTCTGCCTTGCAGTTCTGTCCCAAACTCTCAGAAGCTGGTGGGGTTTCAACTCACACATAGCTTGGAGGATCAGTAAGGAGAAGGCATTAAAAGGAATATCAAGGATATTTGAATCTACATTGAAAGAGTGTGGCGATGGATTAATGATGTCTGCTACAGACATAGGCATGGTGGATAGGTGCGTGTATACCTCCCAGACCTGTTCTTTAGGCCATTTCCAGGTTCAGCTGCCCTTCGGATAGCCTCTTCTGGATTCAAGTCCTATTATCCTCTCCTGCTGCCATCCTTTGCTCCTCTCTCGGCCTCCTGCTCTGCTATTTCTCTTTCTTTTACTCTTTCTGTTCTTATTACCTCTGGAAAGCTTTGTGAGTCTTGCTGAGGGCTCTCGCTCTTGCACAGGCCTTCACGACCTTCATCTCCTTCTTCTGCAAGCTGTTGGCTAACAGCATTCTTTGGGGGCCAGCATTTAGGACTGACTGACTCAGGAAGTCCCGCTGTGTGGCCTGAGAGGGACCTGCCCCCCCCATAGTCACTAGGAAGCTACCCCCACAGGAAACAAAACACATCGCTTATGGTTCCTTATTATGTCAGAGCTTTCTTTACCCGCGCTCCACAAGCTTCAAGAATATGGTAAAAGTTCACTTTGAGATTGAACGCCATCCTGCCCCAGGTTGCCCTGAAAAAGCAAGCCACAGGGCTCAGGTCTTTGGGGGTGTCCCTACAGCACAGGCTCTGCTGACTGAAGATGAGCTACGGTCACAGAAGATGCCCAGGGTTATCTCGCTGACGGTCCTCATTACCGTCACCATCAGCTGCTTCTCATATGGGTAAACTGAGGCTGGTGGAGTGAAAGCATCTTGCCTGAGATTTCTCCTCAGGAAGTGGAAGCCCCTGCCTTGGGTCTAGGCCCTCCCACCTCATGCATTCACCCACACCGGAGGCTGTGTCCCTAACTGTCCCGCCCCAGCCCAAACAAGGAAGATGGAGTTGGCATCTAGGGCCCAAGCCGCACAGCGAACAATGGATCAGAGGAGTAAACTGCAAGTCTCTAAAGACACAACCTGGTTCCAGGCCTGTGAGACCAAAGATTCGTTAGGAGGGAAAAGTTGTGTCCATCTGAAGAGGGCTTGACTCACAAAGGCAATTCGAGGGAGGCCTCCCTAAACTACCGAGGGGTGGGAAAGGATCCGGGGCCTACTCGGTCTGGCTGCTGTTTTCCTGTGAGACGATCAACTCGCTAAATTATTACTTATGGGCACCTATTGATTGTCAGCCTCTGTGTGGGGCACTGCCTAGCACCCAGGGAGCCAATGCTACTCAGGAAGGAAGATGGAGGCAGATTTACTGTGCATCAGGACCTGGACTCTGGCCAAGATCCCTCCTCATAGCATGCTTATGTGCTTGCACGCCTTGGAAATTTAGCAGTGTAAGGTGTTTCAACGGCCATCAGTTAAGTCCCCCGTCTCCACTTTTATTTCCTCTCTGTATTTAAAAAAAGATTCAATTTTATGCCTACTTAATTTTGTTCCCTCAGAAGCGCCCCTGGGACAAGCATGCGAATATAGTCGGTGTATTCGGGGGGTTCGGGGATACTGACAGGCAGGTAAGGACAGAAGAGGTGGCGAGGGCAGCCACCCAGCTGAGGCTCCCATTGTTGGTGGCTGCAGCTTACTCCCATGGGGCCACGGGAGACACAGCATTCTAAATGTATAGATGCAGAGCTGTGAGATGTGGAATTATAAGCATACAGACGTATGATCACTGGTAAGGCGACAGATCCGGAGACACTTGCCACTGAAAAGCTAACTTGGTACTTACAGATCCCAGGAAGAGCAGGCCAGACTGTGTCACACAGAGGTCACCTGTGAAAGCAAGGCAGGGTGTCAGTCAAGAGAAGAGCAAGGGCCTGAAAGAGGAAAGCACTGACCAGGCCTTGATGAGGCAGGGGTAGGGTTGAACAGTTGGAATACCCAGAAGGTTCTGTAGTATGGGGCTATCGCTCTGTGTCTGCTGCATGGCTCTCAGATGATCAAAACAGGTGGAGAGTGACCCAGGATGTCAGAACTCAGTGAATGAGGTTCTGAGGGGCTCTGGCTTGCCTGGTTCTTCTTACATACTGATGAGTTGAGGGTTTGACTTCTTCAGCAATTAGCTGGTCCCAGGGGTGCCTGAGAGGAACTATCCACCCCTGGTCCCCAAGGCCAAGATGTGTGTGTGTGGGGGGGAGCCGATATCAGAGACATAGTTAATACAAGTAGAACATTCACCTTGGGGTGGAGAGGGTCACAACCTGCAGACTAGGGTTAGCGGGTCATTTCCTGGCACTTTGGGTGGGCAAAAGGCTGGAGTGTGCTGTAGATCCTGGCAACTGAAGTGCCTGGACCCATGAATCTGGGCAGGCGCCAACCACACGCAGTTTTCCACTCAGAGCTGTCTACCCTGTTTTATGAGAAAACCTCTGAAGACCTTTGACCCTATGAAGTGGGTCTGTCCTACAGGAAGGTAGTCCACACCCAACTACTATGGGTTTGTGTGGCCTCCCCGACCCATCGAGCCTGACCCGATTCTTAGACTCTCAGAACGTGGCTGTGGTCACTAATGTGAAGTGAGGTCACTAGGGTGAGCCATCATCCAATGTGAGTGTCCCTTGTAAGACGAAATCAGGGCCAGCCCTTGGGCCAGCTTCATCCAGATACAGGGGGAGAGCAGAGCTGAGGGGAGAGGCTACAGAGACACAAGCCACGCTGCCACTCGAAGCTGCAGAGACACAAGCCACGCTGCCACTCGAAGGCTGGACTTCCGGCCTCCAGGCTTTGAGAAGTACGGTTTGTCTTATCCCACGGTCCTGGCTGACTGGTTGAAACACAGATGACAGTCTGCTGGGTTGAGGTTCGGAGAGTAGTGTCCACAGACTTCTCCAAGCTGTATTCAGTTCCCATGAAGTCCTGGGGTCACCAGCCTCCCCCAGGGCAGGGTGCAGATGGCCGGGTCTGTGGTACCCCAGAGGGCTATGTCTCTTTAAAGCGAGCTGTTGCTCTTAGCTCCGGTGGCCTTTCCACACCTACTTTTCAAAGAGAAGATGGAAGTCCACGTTCTGTGTAAAAAGCCTCCAGTTGTAAACGTTGGTAATGAACTCAAACATTTCAAAAAAGCCCTACCACTGGGGCCAAACAAAACATTTCTTGGGGGGGGGGGATTAGATTATCAGCTTGGCGTGTGGCTTGCTGAGTGACAAAGGGCCCATGGGCTGGCAGTTGGTCACAGTCAGTGAGTCCCACGGTGTGGACTCGGAAGCCAGATCTACACAGGCCACAGCTCCCAGTTTAGCACCCACCACCAGCTGTCAGGGATGAAGCGAGTCACCTTGCCTGCCACGCCCCTGCTTCTTCATCAGAATAGCGGCAGTCCCAAAGGTCATAGGATGAGGGGCCGAGGGTGCAGTTGGTGTCTGGCATCCTCCTCCTCCTCCTCCTCCTCCTCCTCTACCTCCACCTCCTCCTCCACCACTCTGTATGTTGGCTCAGGACATCCTGTAACATTGTGATGTCACGTCTGTGTTTCTCTGCAGACCTGCTCTGCCATAACTGAACCACGCGGTAAATGACAAGATAAACATGTGTGACTCTGCAATGTCTGCAGGCTGAAAGAAACCACCGTTGGTTTGGCTCTCACGACTCCATAATGCCCAGGGTTAAAATCCCCCCAGCCTCTGGGACCCAGCCAGCCCGCCTACTGAGGTCACAGCGCCTGCCCGTGATGTCCTCGGCCTTGGTCATGATGGTAAGAGGCTCTGAGGAGGCCGGCTCCAAAAGGGACCCCAGTTCTGCCTTCAGACTCCCTGAACTGTACACACACCGTAAAACACTGGAGGACCCTGTTAGATCCATGGAAAAGAGCAAATTCTGGCCACTTGGGCCCCGTTCCCTCAGGTAAGCCAGGGCCTGGGAACACGTGTGTCACATGCAGCTAGAGATGTGGCCGCTGGGTGTCCTGTGATTACCTTTCCTCTAGAACAGAAGCAGTGCAGCCAGGTTTGAGTTTGGATCCTGTCTTGCCCTGTGAGAACTTCGAGCAACCCCTATGTACCTCTGAAGCCTCGATGTTCTCATCTGCAGAACAGGCAAACAGCAATGGCTACTTTTCTGTGAAGCTGAAGGCAGTCAAGAGCAGGCTGGAAATGCTGGTTACAAAACCTACCTCTCCCCACACTACGTTCCTCCCACAGATCTGCTCCAAGCTTCCTTCCAACGCCGTGGAAACGCAGGCTCAGATAAGCCACAGCAGACACACCGCAGGGCCAGGGGCCACACACTGGGACCTCAGCATATACTCCCATGGTCATAAAGTGAGGTGCCGCATTTGTAAAGTGTCCCGGACGCGGGGCTGCAGGTGTGGCTTAGTCAGAAGGGTGCTTGCCTAGCACGCACCAAACCCCTTCAATACCCACAGTTCAGGAGCTGGAGAGATGGCTCAGCGGTTAAGATCACTGCTTGCTCTTCCAAAGGTCCTGAGTTCAATTCCCAGCAACCACATGGTGGCTCACGACCATCTGTAATGAGATCTGGTGTCCTCTTCTGCCCTGTGGGGATATGTGCAGACAGAACACTGTATACATAATAAATAAATCTTTAAAAAAAAAAATACCCACGGTTCACATCCGTGTAGCTTCAGCACAGAAACAGGAGGATCAGAAGTTCATCTTCAGCCACAGAATTAGTTTGAGATCAGCCCGGGTTACGTTAATCCCCGTCTGAAAGAGGTATCATAAATTTATTTGCTTAGCAAATATTAAAATAAAACTCTATTAGAACTTAGAGAAATGTGTTTTTAAAGTTAAGTACTAGCTTTTGGGAGCAGGTCTAGGAGCCTAGAAATAATTCTCTGGGCAAGCAACTACCAAGGTAAGATGAGAAGCTCCAGGCTAGTCACACTTTTTGAGTGTCCTAATGTCCTCTGGGGGCAGGTTAAAGCCAGGCTACTAAGGCCCCAGCCACAGGGTCTGAGGTTCGATTTGGCGGGGGTTGGGGGGAAGGGCCGCATCCAGATGTTCCTATGCTGATGTCAGGGGCTCACTCTGAGGCGAGGAACAGAGATTGGGCAGGAGCAAGGGAGAGCCAGTCTCGGGTAGCCGTCTCAAGCCATTGGGCACCACATACAAGCACCCCGGCTCCCAAAGGCAACAACAACAATGAACTCAATAAAGCAGGCAGAGAGCAGCGAACCAATTCAGCACAGGATTTCAGAGGCAGGAGGTAAAGGCGGGCTGGGGCTCACAGGACCCCCAAATCTTAACGGTTAATAGAGGGACCACCAATGGCAGATGCCACAGGCAGCCAGCCAGAGCTCTGCGTCCTGCACACCCTGGACACAGCTAAGGAGGACCGCAGCATGTGTGCCCAGCGTCACTGGACCTCCTTGAGAAACAGCCCATTGACATGGCTATTGTCATCCAGAACCCTCAACAGCTGTGACTTCTCCCAGGGTCCTCACATATGGTTGGGTCATTAACTTTCCACCAGGGATGGGAGATGGATGGGTGGATGGGTGGATGGGTGGATGGATGGATGGATGGATGGATGGATGGATGGATAGATAGGTAGATGTGCAGTTAAAGGTTGCCGGGGGTTCTCATGACACCCGACTCCTCCCTGAGGATTTATACACACCTAATAGTCAATTGGAAGAGAGACGTTTTCATTAATAGTAGAACTGCTTGTAAGCACATGGACGCATAAGTAACTACAATTAAGTACATTGGCTCTCCACACTGGATGGAATCTATCCTTTAGTCTGTCACCGGTTCCCTATTTGGAGTAGATACACATTTGTTTGTCTCCCCAGGAAAATCTCCCAGAGCAGAGCCTCTCACATGACGTTGAAGTCCCTGAGCTGTGGCCCAGGGTGGAGCCCAGCTCACAAGGTCACTGATGGAGAGGGCATCTTTGTCCACTGTCACCCTCCTGACCTCTGGCTTTCACTCCTGTAGATGTCCAAGGACCAACAGTATCACCCTGTCCCCCTGAGATAGGGGTCCTCCCTGCAGGTGGGGAAGAGAGGCACACTGACTCCAAGTGGGTTTCCTCCTGGCCGATGTGCATCCTGGGTGGATGCCAAACACCCAGGCTTTTTACAAAGACTTAACTTTTATTGTTTTTTAATTATATATTCAAGTATGTGTATTTGCGGTTACCTGAAGAATCCAGAAGAGGGCGTTGGGTCCTCTGAAATTACAGGCAGTTGGTCACCTGACATGGGCGCTTGGTGTGCTTTCCATCAAGACATCTTTCTCTGGACGTGTGCGGTTAGTTTCAACATTCCTTCACAGCAGAGCAGATCGGAGCCCAGTACTTCGGAGGACGTGACATTTGGAGGCAGGATAGGGTGTGGACAGTGTTGTTCTTTGATCCCGCCTCTGATTCTAAGTGGCCCTGGAGGAGCCTGGTGTTACTAAAATCATTACAGCTAGCAAAAAAAATTCAGAGGCAAAACTAAACAAGACGAAGTATTTACAGTGAGATCAGACAGGCATGGGTGGCCGAGGGAGTTGCCCACACTCCCTGTCAATATTTTCAGTCAATAAAATAGTTACTGTTTTGGACGGTTTCCTAGACGCTGTGCTGAGGATTTTTTTTTCTTTCTTATCTCATTGTAATTAACCTCCAGAGCATCTGGTGGCATGGATCCTTTTTTATTTCCACTTTATGTAGGAAAAAAGACAGATTCCACACAGATGTAGGTCATAGACCTGGCTCCTGGAGGAGGGCCAGGCCTCAGACCTACAAGTCCAGTGTGGACGCACCATGGTGCACACCGTGACTGCAGTTCTTAAAGCCTGCAAATCTTACCTTTTTATGCACCACGGCCCTGGCTTCCTCTCCAGAGACAGACACTCAGAGTGGGTACAGGTACTAAGTAGGTAGATAGTCCAGCACCTAATGTGTCAGCCATGCAAGCGTGAGGACCTAGGTTTTATCTCCAGCACCCACATCAAGAGCCAGGCATGGGAGCCAGTGAGATGCCAAACATGCACACATGCACGCACGCACACGCACACGCGCACGCACGCACGCACGCACGCACGCACGCGCACACACACACACACACACAGAGTAGAATCAACCTTGGTGTGAATAGTGTCATTGGACCTATGCTCTATATGAACCTCAGGTTCTTCCTTAAGCTTCAAGTCAAGGACAGGACCCGAACTTGATGGCTCACCTGATTGAATGTCCTTGCACAATAGCAACAGGACAAAGCAGTCCAGGGGCTCTCATCTGTTTCTTCCTTTCTGTCTGATGATTCTGGAACATCGGCTTCCTTCTAGATGTGTTTTCTCCTCATGGTGGCAACTCGGCTGCTGCAGCTCCTGTCCATCAGGCGAGAGCTCTGCCCCAGCATTCCCAGCAAAAACTGGGTTTCTGTGGCTCTGATGGGGAAACTGTCTAGTCCCCGAAGTGGCTCTTAAGATGGAAGGATCACAGTGAACCGATTATCTGGACCAGGTTGCACGCTTCATCCCTGAGCTGGAACTTATTTCCTGAAGTGGGAGGGATAGCTTCTCTGGGTTTCCATTAGTCACTTTTCTCATCTCTGGGACAAAATAGCTGATAATAAACAGGTAAAGGGGAGGATGATTTTGGTTCATGGTTGCTTGGCCCCATCATGGCAGTGGGAACACATGGGAGAAGAAGCTCAAGGTTGTGCGTGACAGGAAGGAAGAGGAGATGGCCAGGAAACATTTACTCCCAAGGGCCCAGCAAACCCCTTCTTCCAGCAAGGCTCTGCCTCCTGAGGTTACCTCAGCTCCCCACATTTCACCTGGTAGACTGAGCTTCCAGCCCAGGAGCCCTCGGGGTACAATTCCAGCTATAAACATAACAGGGTGAGTAAGTCTGAATGCACCACAGAGCATTTGGCAAACGATTGCTACCCAAGCCCCAGTCTCTGCTTCTGAAATGGGTGTCCACAGCGGTTTAGTCCGCTCTTGAGTTGTGACAAAACACGACGGAATGAGTTTCTCAAACAACAGCTCTCAGTTTCCCCATGGTTCTGGAAGCTGGAAGTCTAGGATCAGGACATGGATATGGAGAACTCTCTTCCTGGCTGACAGGCCTCTGTGTCTACACGTGGCCTCCCTTGGAATACATAAGCACAGTCTTCTGTACCAGTTTCTCCTCTGTGGGGGCACTGATCCCACGAGAGCCCCACCCACATGACCCCATCTAATGCTAATTTCTCCCCTGGTATCCTGGAGGAAAGGACCACAGCGTTTGAATTTCGCAAGGACCCAGTTCACTCTGAGGCAGATGATGTCTGCTTCACTCAGTCAGGGTGAGCGCTGAGAGGAACTCCTGGAGAGTCTCAGCAGCCTTTGTCCACAGTGAGTAGCAGGAGCCAACAGTACCATAGCAACTGCAGGTCTTACTTTTCACTGTTCTCCGTCAGCTACTGACGGAACACAAGGCAATCACCCGTTTCTCTG